CACACATACTGAAAGTTTCTGTACTTGACAATGGGAAACTGTCTCACTCATTTGTGACATGTAGCTTTGTAATCAGCCAAGAGGTGTTGCAATTACAGCAAAGTTACAAGGACAGAAGCACAGAAACCACACAAGAAGCAAAGTTATGCCACAGAGAAGCATAGTTAGATGAGCACCCCTTGCAAAAAAAACATAAATCAAAGAAGGACTTGAAAATACATTTTATTCACAGGAATTTGTTAGGTCTTCCACTGTTGTGGCCAGAACACAATTTCATCTCCCTGTGAGACAGTGATTCAGCGTTGTGCTTGACCATTTCCAGCGCCATTTCACTAGTGCAATTAAGATGAAAGTCAACTGAGACTTGCAGTTTAGCATATGCAACAATTTTAATGCAAGATTTTATCTGTTAAAGTATCCGTGGAGCTAGCTATGGGACTCTGCTCATGGGAGGTTCAGGTTGAAAATTAGGAGACATTCCTTCTCAGAAAGAGCAGTCAGGCACTGGAATGGGTTGCCCAGGGAGGTGGTGGAGTCACCATCCCTGGGGGTGCTCAAGGAGAGGTTGGACGTGGTGCTAGGGGACGCGGTTCAGTGGGTGACATTGGTGGTAGGGAGGTGGTTGGACCAGATGATCTTGGAGGTCTCTTCCAACCCTAATGATTCTGATTCTATGGTGAAAATCTCTCACTATGCCTGCCCCAGCAGCCCCCGTAACTCCATATCCTGTTGGGTCCATCAGTGGGCAGACGAGGTAGGTGCTGCCCAGCATGCCCACAGCCTGCAGCGAGCTGCGGTGTGTTGTTGCTGAGGCCAGGCTGCCTGGGGACGGTGTGGATGTGAGAAGCCAGGCCTCAGGAATGCCATGGGCTCCACCACCACGCTCATCGGGCAGAGCCAGGGCAGCCCCCCCATGTTCAGAGCTGTCACTGCTGAGCTGTAGCACTGCCCCCTGGCCTACGTTGTTTTGTGAAATACTTGAGTGTCCTGGACCAATTCATTTGTTTCTGTGGCTTCATCTTCTTCCATCCCCAGTCTTGGTGGGCAGTTTTGCAGTGGGGCCTTCAGACTCCTTCAGAGTCAGAAAGCTTCACCCAGTGAGCAAGTGGAAACAAGTCTTTGTATGGGCTTTTCATCATAATGTTTATATGATGGATAAGTTTGGATGGCCTGATTTATCCTTTATCAGTGAGGCACTCAGTTCTCCCTGGGAGATCAGTTGAAGTTTATCTATTTCTGTCTGACAATGTATTTAGTTTAATACATTCAATGCTTAAATTATTACTATAAAAGTAACAGCTAGAGGGAAAAGCAAACGTAAATCAGTTGGCTACTTGGAGGAAAAAAAAAAAATTGATCTGCTAATAGCTCCAGCAGTTTCCCAAAGGACAAGCTTTCTGCAAGACATGCTCTGATATCTGACATATGTCCTGCTCTTCTTGGTGAAAGTATTAAAGGTTTATCTTGATAGAAAACTTAATTAATCTGAGTAGTAGAGAGTAAAGAGTAGTAATCTGTGTAGTAAAGAGCAAATCATCTCTCTAGCATTTTCTATTGTGCAAGAATACAGTATTTCTTATGTGAAATAAGTGTTTATTCAGAAGACTGATCCAAGTGAAGAATGAATGACTAACTAACTGCATGATTTTTATCTCACACTCAAAAAATTCCTTCCTCCTGTATATGGACATGGGAGTTTCCTTCAGTGGGCAAACCTCTTAAAGGTTAGTGTATGCTTTCATGACAGTTACTTGCCTCTTGTTTTGATGAATGCTGTCATTTTGCTCAAACATCTGCCTTCTTCTTTTTGGTTGTTAATCAGATGATCAATTTATTTTATTTTATTTTATTTTATTTTATTTTATTTTATTTTATTTTATTTTATTTTATTTTATTTTATTTTATTTTATTTATTTTATTTTATTTTCATAGTGAAATGTTAGCATAATTTGACTTTTACCTTGGAGGTAGGGAATCCCAGAAAGTAAAATATTGATGTGACTTACACTTTTAAGCTTTTTGCAGAGACTGAACTAGGACATTACTGAGTATTATAATCCAATAATAAAAAAAAAATAATAAAAAAACTTCCTCAAATAATTTTTTAAGATTCCAGTGTTAATATGCATACCTGTAAAGTACTACTGTGACTACAATGCCACACTCACTGCATTTATTCAGAAGCTACTTGAAGATTTTTTAAATAAGCATATCTGTGCTAGTAAAAGAACAAAGTAGAGGGGAAGGAGTTTTGGATTATGGTGAAGTATTAAACACACTATATAAATAAAATGTATAAATTAAAAGGTGTTAAAAGGGATCGAGGAACTGATCCCATTGATTTTATGCAGTTCCAAAGTTGTGTGGGTTTTTTGGTAGAATATGAGATATGTATTTCTTAGACCTGCCATAATTTTTCCTGAGAGCTCTTACTTTGGCTTTCTGCAGCAGCACAGACGGCTCTTTGTTTCCTCCATCAGACAGCCAGGCTGCACAGAGCCACTTGAGGAATACAGCAGCCTTCTCTGAGCTCAGCCTCTCATGCTGCCTTGCAGCTTTCCCCAAAATATCCGTAAGAAAGTTAACAAGAGCTAAATTATGAACTCCGCAATTAAAGGCACCAAAGGTAGATCAGCAAAGGTACTGGGTGTTGCAGTGGTGAGCACAGCACTGTTAACCCCGTGTGCTTTGCTGCTGAGCCCATGACACACACAAGCTCCCCACAGCAGCACGCAGCCAGGACTGCCACTCAGCGCCAGAATCCCCAGGCACAGCAGAGCGGGGACACTTAGGAAGCAGTAAGAGTTAAAGGCAGATGAAAGGTCCAGGACTTGGCACTTCCCACACTGGGCCCCTTTTGGCTCCAGATCCTCATCATTGAATTAATATTTAGACACCTAAGCCTGGCTTTCCTGGTTGTGAAAAGCCAGAAGTAACGTAGTTCCTATCTGAGAAGAAACCATGTCTGAATGATAAAGCTTCTCCTCCCTGTGTAAGGAGGTGATCTGTTCTTCCAAATCTGTTTGGGGCTCTTCCACCAGATTTGGGTTTATTTCACCAGACTTGGAACCTGGTCTGTCAGTCCCAACCTCTGCACTAGCCATAGGCAATGGGTTTCCATTAGAAAATGCTCTTATTTTTTCCTACTGCAGTTGCAGTTGAAGAGGAATGAATGAGCGCCATTTATTTACTGGTTCAATAAAATAAATAAATAAATAAATAAAAATCATGACTAACAGTATTTATAAAGTCAAAGAGTGTGCAAGAAAAGCAGAGCCCCAGCAACACAATGGGCAGGCCCTTGAATTTAAGCCTTTTATAGGTGGGGTGAGTGGAAACACTGGTGTGTATGAGCACATCTTTCTCTCCAGACTCTGTGGCTGTTTTTTGGGGTGCTGAGAGGCTATGAGAGGAGGGGAAAACAGTGCCAGTTGCAGCAGGGAGACTGCACGCATGGCACCAACCTAGTGTCGTGAGCATCTGCTATGTGCCGTGCACCAACAGTGTCACAGTGAGCACACCTGGGTTGTACAGCCTGCTTGTGTAGAAGATTTTAGTGATATTTAAATAGTGGATGCATGTATCTCCATTGGCAAGACTGCATATAAAAAATAAATGCTCCATATGGCTAAATAGGTAAGATGAAGGAATCACTGGTTGACACAAGATGGATCCTTGCTTAAAGATGGTCAGGCAAGTTTAATTACAACAGCCCCAGTTGCCCTGGAAATATCTAAGGCAAAGCAGATCAGTATTACTGATTCAATTTGAGGTTTTCTCCAACATTCAGGGAAATTCACAAATTTCGCATTTGAAAGCTTCTAGCCTAGACCTAAACTCTAAGGGTGAGCAAACCTAGGCTGGGAAAATGCATACAGATGCATGTGCACATTTTGATACCTAAAATAATAAGCAATGGTATTATGAAGGTCTACAGCACTGCTGTGCTGCGCACTTCATCTGTAGCACACCTCATGAAGAAATACCCTCAGTGATACAAAAGTTCAGCAGTCTGGGAAGGGTCCTGTGCTGATGCTGGGGATCCCCAGACACCTGGGCAATGATGCCCCGCTTGTGCAAACAGGTGAGTTGCAGAACAGTCACACGTTACCACCTTCACAGCAGTGCCACCGACCTGGCAAACCGAAGGTTTACCAAGCAGTGTCCTGCCGTTGCGCAAGAAATGTTCTGCACGTGCATGTTCATGGTTATTCACTGGGGCTGTTGCTGTAATTAAGCACGTACATCATTCCTTAAATCTTCCCACCTGGCTTAGGGCAGCATTGTGATTGAGGGTGTACCTCCAGCTGTACCTCAGACACTAGCCAGTGTCAGTCCCAGCGTTTGGGCCACTTGGGAACAGTGCAGCTTGGGGTCTGCATCTCAGCCTCCTGCTGATGCCTGGAGTGGAAAGAATCACAGAATGGTTTGGGTTCGAAGGGACCTTAAAGATCATCTAATTCCAGCCCCCTGCCATGGGCAGGGACACCTCCCACCAGCCCAGGTTGCCCAAAGCCCCATGCAGCCTGGCCTTGAGCACCTCCAGGGATGGGGCATCCACAGCTTCTCTGGGCAGCCTGTGCCAGGGCCTCACCACCCTCTGCGTGAAGAATTTCCTCATAAACTCTAATGTAAATCTCCCTTCTTTTAGTTCAAAATGGAGATACCTGCTTGTTAGAGACAGGCACGTGAAGTGCTGCCGTGGAAGGGGGCTTTATGTACACAGGGCTCTGGTTGTACAGCGTGAAAGAGCGGATGGCTCAGCGCCTCGTAACGTGCATTCCTGCAGCAGAAATGTGCGGTTTTGATAAATACTTCACAAAACAATGTATTGAGGCGTATCTCCCCCTTCTGGAAGCCGCCTCTGCGAGCCCCAGAGGCTGCAACACACCCGTTACCCATCGAGGTGCTGCCACTCGTAACGCTACCGGGCATACACTATAGCCTGTATAACTCAGCGTACAGCCCGTATACCGCTACCACCAAGAAAAGAAGCGTTATTTTACACACAAACCAACATTTTATTGTGTCAAATCGACCGGGCTCAGCCGGGCGGGTGGTTAAAGCCTTCAGGTGGCGGTGCCCGGCAGGGTTTGGTGCCACCCCCTCCCCTACTCCCCCCTGTAGCCCTCGGGTGCCCGGAGCGGGGCTTGAGGGGGGCGGGAGCCCCCCGGCCCCTTGCCAATGGCTGCCGGGGGCCGGCGCTGCCTTGGCCGCTCCCGCCCGGTTCCCGGCCTCCCCGGGGAGGGAGCTGGGGCTGGGAGCCGTGAAAAGGCTCCATTTATCCCCTGGCCGCCTCCCTCTCGCCATGCTCCGCGCCCCGCTGCTGCTCCTGGCGCTGCTGCTGGGCTCGGGTCCCCCCCCCGGCGGCTCCGAGCCCCCCCGGGGCAAGCAGAAGGCGCTGAGGCAGCGGGAGGTGGCGGCCGAGACGGTGAGGGGGGCAAAATGGCGGGGCCGGGGGCCTGAGGGGGCGAGGGGCAGGGGGGGCGCTGAGGGAAGGAGAGCGGCTGGGTCGGGCCGGGGGAGCCCTTCGGGGGGCTTTTTGTGGAGGGGAGGCTAAGGGGGGCTTTCTGTGGAGAGGCTGAGGATAAGGGGGGCTGCCCCGCAGGAGTAAAGGGTGCGCGGTGAGCTGGGAAAGGGGCGAGCTCTGTGGAGCCGTGTAATGGCAGCGGTGGTCGCCGAGAGGAGAGGCTGCAGAGTGAGTGGTGGGCGACAGGAGCTGGCAGAAGGCGAAGAGCTGCCCTTCTGCTGCCACCGGGTACCGGGAAACCTGTGTCTGGACGTGTACTCATCCCGCTTTCTCTGGAGACTCTTGCGTGCCTCTGTGATCCCTCTGCAACCAGAAAGCCGAGTGTGTGCTGGGACTCTCCCGTCTCGGGTATAGAGAGAAAGGAGAGAGAATTTCCAGTGCCTGGAATGCGAAAAGCAGATGTGAAGCGATTTCCATGAGCCGCTGGGCTGCCGTTCGCCTCCTGGAGAAAACCCACAACTTCACGTTTCTTCCAGATCACCTCACGTTTCTCCAGCAAGACCCCAAGGGCGACGTGCCGAAACACCACCAGGAGTAAAGCTGCTTCCCTTGCACGCCGTCACCCCTTCATTTTCTTGCGTGAAGAACGAGGAATGTGCACACATGGAGGAGCTCGGGGTCTGTGCCTGAGCGGCTTTAGGGCCGCTCATTTGGGGCATTTCTCTTGCTTCCAGCTTTTGGGCACGGCAGACGGAGCAGCACAGCACGGGTGGGTGCTTCAGCGCCAGCTCCACGCCGAGTGCCTCAGGAGCAGGATGAAGGCAGGAGTGAGATGGGAGCTGCTGCTCCTGCGGGCGTTTTCTTTTTAATAGATGCTTTATGCACTCAGGAAAGCATGAGCAATACTCGATTTGGCAAGCGCAGGCGGATCTGGTTGGACTGGAGACCAAAGCCGAGGCAATTCCTTTCGCTCACATCATATATTTTTTTTTTTCCTCAAGATGCTCTCGCTATGAAGATTGACGGCTCCATCTCGGCCTCTGAGCCGGGCCTGCCCCCTCGTGGGAGAACGGCAGCAAGAGCAGCAAGCCCAGGCTGTATGAAACGGGAATGCCTTTGCCTAATCCTCGTGATCCTTAGGCTGACACGTACTTTGCCCAGCCATCTGCCTTTTTGTTGAATGCCACCTTCATGATTCAGTCATCGTGCTGCTCCACTGCTGCTCGCCAGCACTGCGTCCTTTGGTGACAGCAGTGAGGAAATCCCAGTGCTCATTACTCTAGGGCTCATCTTTCTCCTTACTTCAGCCCCTCCTGTACCTTCTGATTGTATACACGGAGTGACTGCAGCCAAGCCAGTGATGTCATTCATGCACAGTCCATGCATTTCACCAAAGCACAGAAAAAAAATCAGTAAACTGTAGAAGAGCAAAGCTCCCCAAGAGGCAAAGGAGAAGGGATGGGGAGCATGAGTTTCCTGTGGGGCTGACAGCTTGCAGGAGGGGCACAGTGCTATGACCTACTCCTTCTCTAGGGGGCTAAAAGGGGCTGAACAGGCATCAGTACTATATGGGGCAGAGCCGACCAGGGAGGGAAAGCTGCCCCGTGCTGCGTTAACAGCCTGCCCAAGCAGGGTGAAGCCAAATCTCTAAAGGTATGAAGGCAACGTGTGCTAGTATGCAGCCTGGGACAGCAGCATTTGCCTTTTCCAATATCATAATGTTGAGGGATTGTGAGCATGCCACCATTTCGTGCATGTGCTTCCACTGCTGTGCATGGGAAGCTGGAGATCAGGTTTTGGCAGCGTGCAGCTGCCCAAACCCATGCCATCACCAACGTGCTTCTTGTTGCATGTGGTGCGGAGCAGAGCAACGACTAGCAGGGCTCTTACAACTCAGCTGATTTTTTTCGTTTCTGCATTTGAATGTTTTCAACCTTCTGATGTTTTTCTATCAGGGTTTTTAATCCTTCGACTAGGATGATTTCTATTTTTAAGTTTGATTATCATTTCATAAAATAATTGGAGTCTTAATTTACAGCAAATTCTGCTGGCATTGCTTATCTTTTTAAATTTCATTTTTCCTGCCTTTTCATCTCCTGGAACCATTTTCTTGATGATCCAGAAATAACCCATTAGCTTGTCACAAGGTATTTTGAATTTTCGTTGTTGTTTGATTAACTTGGTTATGCTCTGAGTTAATGGATGGTGTCAGCAAGCTCTGCTCTGTCTTTCAGTACAATGGCATGTGCTTACAAGGCCCCAGTGGTGTTCCTGGACGGGATGGAAACCCAGGAACCAACGGGATCCCTGGGACGCCGGGAATCCCAGGACGGGACGGGCTGAAGGGGGAAAAGGGAGAGTGCATGCGAGAGAGCGTCGAGGAGTCCTGGACACCCAACTTCAAGCAGTGTTCGTGGAGTGCACTTAATTACGGCATAGATCTTGGGAAAATAGCAGTAAGTTAACATTACTTTGCCAACTCAGGCAGTACCACAGCAGTTTTAAAGTCTGACATTATGAGCAACATAGCACAAATAGTACAGATTTCCTGTGGGAGCCTTTTTCGACACATAAGGGCAAACTTATCAGAGGTTATTTCAGATCCATCTCAACCGTGTTTATCAGCAGTGTGCCTGGTTGTTAATTTCCATAATAACATTTAAGAACGATGGAGCTGGTATAAGTAGTTTTTAGCTATTACTCCAGAGAGGATCAACATTGTTCAGCAGCAGACTTAAGTATTGTCCAGATGAACCCAAATGTTCTGTCCACCACATGCAGACCCAAAGTTCAAAACCTTCAAAAACAATGGTGCAAGGGTAGAAGGTCACCAACTTAACAGCAGGTTTGTCTAAATAAAGTTAAGAATTTCCATAATTCCCCTTCTCCATTATCAGCTATAAGGTGCTCTTTCTGATTTGCATCATACACTATTGGCATTTTTTTTTCCTAAAAGGAAGGGAATAAAAGCATTGTCCAAAAAATACTGAAAGCAATTCTAGGGAGTAGGTTCAAAATCAGAGTTTGCTACCGAAGCTTTTTTGTCCCTCTTAGGAATGTACGTTTACGAAGATGCGCTCAAACAGCGCGCTGCGAGTTCTCTTCAGCGGATCGCTTCGGCTAAAATGCAAAAATGCCTGCTGTCAGCGCTGGTACTTCACTTTCAATGGAGCGGAATGTGCTGGGCCACTTCCTATTGAAGCCATAATATATTTAGATCAAGGAAGTCCAGAACTGAATTCTACTATTAATATACACCGAACTTCTTCAGGTATGTATGCCAAGACTGCACCAACAGCAATGGGTTACAGGTCAGTAGCAAATTTAGTTAATAAATGCATCTTAGTTAATAAACAAATTAAATGCATCTCAGTTAAAATAAATGCATCTTAGGAAGAGGGGCCTAGAATGAAGTTGATACCTTCTGCTGGTTGATACTTACACTGAGAATTATTTATAAAACCAAAAGAGTTGCATTAATTTTTCAGGTTTTAACAGCATTGCACCAGAGGTTTAAGCTGTATTTTGCTCTCAGTTTAGAGCAGAGCTAGAGTATCACGAAGCCACCAGCCCAGCTTTTTGCAAGAGGCACTTTTTCTTCCCTGTAGTATTTCATGACTGCATGAAATCTCACATCTGTGGCTATGATTGATTTTCCTCCCCCCAGGGGTAGAACACACTTGTTTTCATTAACCCACCTCCAATTAGCAGTGCTTGGGAAAAAAGAAAGGTGATAAAAGGGAACTTTTGCAGTGCTGCTCCAGGTACAGCTGTGGGCCTGCCCCACTGACTCTGGCACTGCAAAAATGGTGGCTGGATGGGATTGAAGCCATATCGCTGCTGCCAGTTTGTAAATCTGGACATGTAAAGAAGCAGACTAGACTCCTATTTTGCATCCAGAGAATTGCTTTCCCCCAGCTTCATGTATTGTAACAGACATTGATGAGAACCATGGATAAAGGTAGCACACAGCTCTGAAACCTGAATTGCCAACTCTCTAAGTAATACCCAGGTTTTATTTCTAAAAACGCTATTTAGATTTAACTAAATAGCATGAACTTGCAATGAACTGTCATTCTTAAGCACTTGTGTACAGTGCCAGATCCAAAATATGGTGTGCTTGTGTCTGCTGAGGTAACGTGGGTTTTGTCTTTAACCAGTGGAAGGTCTGTGTGAGGGGATCAACGCCGGCTTGGTGGACATTGCCATCTGGGTTGGGACTTGCGCCGATTATCCAAGGGGAGATGCTTCTACTGGATGGAATTCAGTCTCCCGTATCATCATTGAAGAATTGCCAAAATAACCCTACCTTTTTGTAATCTCTATTTTGTACAATTTTCTAGACAAATTACAGAGTTGGATGCAAGTTTTTGACTAAAAGGCACCAAACTCTTTCTTTTGTAGTGTTTGTCTACCTTTTTTTTTGCACATTGCAGAGGTTTTTTATAATAATCATTTTAGAATATAAATATAAAAAACCTTCATTAACTTTTATAATTCCTTTTTTGATATATGAAAACATACCAACACCATTTTAGGAGTTAACTGTAATTTTTTTGTATCAAATAAATAAGACCTTTTACAAAAAAAAAAAATCCAGGCTATTTTATTAGTCAGCAAACTGTTCCAGGTATTTGACACAGTATTATAATACACAATTCTTTTCTTTAGAACGCTTCTAAGTTCCAACCTTGGCTTTAGTCTTTGAAACACATACCCAACACCTACTCCTATGAATGTGAACAAAGAATCAGATGCTCTGCTATGTCTTGTATCTCTCTACAAACTTCTTGTGACTGTCACCTGTCAGTCTTTACACCTGAATGACTGGTGTTAAATATGTTCTGAAAAAATAAGTAAAAAGGGCATATCCAAGCTTTCCTTCCTTATGTCCTCTGCTTGAGACTAGATTTCAGTGCAAACACTTATATTGATCTCCACTGTCATCATACAAAACCTGAGTAATTTTACAGTTACAAAACTTAGGTTTTGCCAATAAATAATTCTGAGTTTAGCCTGTCAGATATATACAATCACTTTGGTGTTAAAGCTAGATACATTGTTTGGAAGATGCAGAAATAAAGCAGGCTGAAAAGCCTTGGCTTTCCAAAAAGTGTACTGCTAAACTGAAAGACTGATGTTGCAGATATTTGAATGCAGCCTCCAGACTGGACAAGAAGTAACGACGAGTGACAACATTGACCATGGCACATCTTCTACTTAGTGCAGTGTTAACAGAAGCATTTTAGAGTACTCTCTTCCAAATACATACTCAAGTCTTACAAACAAACAAACAAAAAAGTCCAGATTCTAAGGGTAAATAATAGCCACGTCAAATTGCAAAATCAATTGCATATTAATGAAATAAAATAAAAAAAAGCATGTATAACATGCAGAAATACACCCTGTTCAGAAACTAAAAGGAAAAACATTACATCTGAGATATTTTATTTTAGCCTTTTAATACAAAATCCTGTTTTTTGTTCTGAGCTGGTTATAAGATTTTTCCAAGGCATGTCTCAAATTGACAGCTCATCCGCAGCTTTGTTAAAATTCTATAGGAACACAGCTGCAGCTAGGAGAGCATTCAGGTTCTCCCTGCTGCAAGCTTACACGTGATACTGCTGCAAGCCAGCAAACTGCACAGCTGGCATTTCTGTCTCTGAAGAACTGCCACTGTTTTTATTGGCTGGCAAGAGGGGTTTTAGGGCATATGAACACAAACTAGTTACTGTGAGCTAAACTATGGTGGGAATTTAGCGGATGTCTGTTAGCATACAGTCACTGATTGTGTACACGCTTGGAGACTGGCTTTACGCTTACCCTGGATCACACGTACCCCGCTCTGAGTCTAAACATGCTCATCCAGGGCGGTCAGTGCACAACTTTTATTATTTTCATATGGTTCATTCCTATGTCTTCACAATGCATTTTGAATCCTGAATACTAGAAAACACAAACCCAAGTAAAAAAACTTCCAAAGAAAGGCAAAAGAAGGCAGTAGCTGATAGGGCTCTATGCTGAATTTGCATGGTAAACTTCTAGTAAATTTGCTCTTCGGTTAGATGTACATGGCAGCTTTTATAATTACACAAACAAACAAAACAAATAACATATAATGGTCACATGCATTTCAGATGAGATAGCTTAATGTATTATCAGCTGTAACAGTAGAAAGGATGGGATTAGGGAGGAAAAGGAGTAAATTATTAAAAAAGTTAAGCATACACAAAGCATGATGTGGCAACAGTATCAATAGAAACAAACAACAGGAATTGAGATTCAAAATACTAAGCAGTTTCTGTAGTTTTCCAAACTTAAAGGTTAAACCAATTCCCTAATTTCTGCTTCTGGTTAGTCTTGTGTTAAACAGGAAACTTCTCTAAGAGATTATTCAAGTGCTTTGCTGAACAGTATTCTCTGTTCCTTATGAAACTGAATATTTCTCCTCACCTGTTGAATAACCTTTGCTAACTTATTTCCTCCTCAGTTAAGTGCTACTTTCTAGATATTTATTCATACATTTATAATAATAGCAGGAGGCAGATGCAATGCTCAGTAACGTACTTCCTTAATGAAGAACTAAAACAGAAAAAACAACACCTAGGTTTCCAAAAAGTATATGTCCTTGACAGCAACTATGGCCATAAAAATAAGCGCTGTGATTCAAATTTACTGAGATGTACTGTAATTTTGCTTACTATTGTGTTAGCAATTGGTATATTCTTAGTCATTTCCTGAGACTAAGTCAGAAGGCATTAACGACTTTTAAAAAAAGTCCTGTGCACAGTATTTTTAGACTACCTATGGATTTTTTCAAAGAATATTATTCAAAATGAGTAGTCATATTTGTTGTTAAAGTTGCTTGAAAACTGCATAACTATGGAATCACTAGGAAAACCCATATATATATATATATATATGTTTTTTTTTTTAAAGTAAGCCTACTTTCAAATATTCATTTACTTAGTAATATTTGGTCAGATGCATCGGTGACAGAGATGGAACATCTTGGTCAGAGTGGGGAGGGAAGAGAGAGAAAACCAATGAAGTAAGTTGCCAGCAATGCACACAACGGACTTTGGTTTGGTATTAAAACAAGCCAACAACCACACCGCAAAGTCTGTCTTGGTATGACTCAAGAGCTGGATTTCAACTGGCAATTACTCAAAACCAGGAATGGACAGCTGACTGTTTTACAAAACATTTGAATTTCCAAACTGCACCCCACTGAGACAGCTTTTTTGTGTTGGATGAGCGATGGAATGTGGAGCACTCCATAATCTAAAACCTGACAGATAACAGAGATGGATTCAGAAGACACTGCTGTAAACAAATACATACATATTTTCTCCATGAGGCTCTGATAAAGATTTGAGGACGTTCTGATGGATTCCAGAGTTGCTTTTATATGAAGCTTTCTGCAGTACAATCTGACCAACTGTTATCTTGCGACTTGTCACAAGAGATTAGTCCATTACTCCAGGCAGGCCAGGATGAATTGAATTGTTGCACAGCTGCCTTCACCCAGTCACAATGCTACTTCACAGTTGCAGACATTTGTTTCAGGCAGACACTGCTGATTCAGAGGGGAGAGAAATGTAGCGAGGCAGGAACTCTCAGCAGAAGAGATGCGGGCAGGGTTTTAGTATCTCCAGGTTCTTTCCTCAAAATATTAGATCAATTCACAGTGTCAAAATAGACTGCTGAAGTAAATCTCTCCCAGATCATAAATATATATATAAAAAAAAGGATGGATTCCTTCTGAACACAAGCTTATACCTTTAATTATTTTCTTTTCTAAAACCAAGTAAAAAACTAGACACATTTTCATAAACTACAAAAGTAATGCAGCAAGCAGGAGTCACTCTGATCACATTGGGGATAATTCCTTTGTAAAATCCATGAATTCCTTCTTTCCTTTAAAGACACAGAAAAAAAATACTTTTAATTAACACATTTTAATAGAAATCAGACATAAAACAAAGCCTGTTGCTTTTCTCTTGCTCTCTCACTGAAGGAAATGTACTTCAGATTAGGAATAACAAGTTCAGAATAATTTCTTACTGAAATGTTTACAGAGTCAAAACATATCAAATCTTAACCCTTCACTTTCCCTTCTGTTAGAAAGTTTTGAAGACTTCTAATTTCAGCTTCCTATTCTCTAGTTTCATATGGACCTAGGATAGCCCAGAGTGATGAGTAGTCAAAGCAGATCCTGGAAAGTGCTTGGGTGTGGTTTATACCTCTCTTCTGAGTGCTCGAGGTTGCATTTGTGTCTCATGAGTGGGCCCAAAATGTCTGCACACATTCATGCTTTGTAAGAACTAGTAAGCCTTCCTGTAAACTGCAGGCTACTGCAGGGACATCAGCATGAGCAGCCCTAGCTAGCTCACATCCTCCTGCTATGAATTTGGATCAGCCACAACTCCCACCAGGCCAACTCTTTTGTCATATATGATGACCTAAAACAGTTCAAATGAAACTTGTTAAAAGAGTCCCCAAAGAATCTCAACTCAATGGTGTGTTTTTAAACCTTGCTAGTTTCTAAGCAAAATTCTGGGGAAGAGAATAAGGAGGCAGAATAAACAACAGAAATGTGTTGCCTAGCACTGACCCTCTCCTCTCTCTTCCTTTGTCCGTAGAATCTAGCTATTATTAGTGGCAGAGCCCACAAAACGGCTTCATACAGATAACCAGACAGCATGGAAGCAAGTAAATACAGTGAATCTGTAAGACACGGTTTCCAAGATGCGAGCTTTTAATGCTGCGTGCCTACCTCCATGTCCTGCGGATCACATCAAACACACCAGAATATGTATTATGCTGATCTTGGAGACGAGCTCGTACAACTTGATAGGGATAAGTTGCTGACACAGCAAATATTTTAGATACAGCTGCCATCGTTATGTATTCTGCAGTGTTCTAAAAAAAAAAAAAAAAAAAAAAGCAAAAAAACAGGTTTGCCTTAACTACAGTTTAAAATAGCCAATTTCCCAAAATCTTGTTTGATTTTAAAATTTTAAACTAAACAACAGATTTTTTTTCCCTTTGCAATGAACTCATTTCAAAAATTGGCAATGTTGCAGAACATAGAGAGTGCCTTAGGTAATTCATTGTAAAATGCTTGTTGTGCTCACTCATTCTTATCAAATGAAACTCTTCTAGAAATCTTTCAGGTGTTCCAAAACTAGCAATACCTTTGCCCAATTTGCACCTGACTAGTTTTATAGGTAGGTATTTAGGAAGACTTCCTATGATTCCACATAGAAAGACTATTTTCAAAAAACATTCCTTCCCCTAAAATTCTCAAACCACTTGCCAAAATAACCTGATTTACCTACAGAAAAAAACAGCAGCAACCAGTTGTTTGTTCCTAAAGTGAAAAATTGTATTTCCTTATAGATTTTATATTTTAACTAATGCATCAATATGTTGTAAACTTGGCCGTTCTATGACCAGAATGTCACATGTCACAACATATTTTTGTTCTCAATAATCTTACCAATTTTGTATCTGATCCTCTGTTTCTATACTTGTTGTATCTCAATTTCAAATCTTCATATGCCATGAATTGAAGTGCTCCATGTGAAGT